AAAAAAAAAAACCCAACCTGATTCTCTCAAAGTTGCTCAAAGCTCATGTGAGAAAAGTCTGACAAGTCGATCCTTGCATCATTCCAAACAAATCCACGTCGGCCTCGTCTCTGAAAGCTGTTCCTTAAACAACAGCCTCCCTTCAAAGCTTTAAAGTTGCATAACCGAGACCAAGCTGCCACCACGAAGAGGCCCGATAATGAAATATTCAGAGTGTGTGCGGCAGTGCAGCGTCTCGCAGTGTGCATGGAAGTGTTTGTGTTTATAATGCGAGTGTGTCTGCTTCCTTTTTGCGTGCGTGTTTATACTGCTGATGCCTTTAACCCAGGTTAGATGTCATTTCCTCTCTTCAGGCCGGCCAAATCCTTTAATTTCTGACACAAGCACGCACACACTAAAGATAAATACTTCTCATTCTCGCTCTGCCTCGCGCACACACAGACACTCTGTAATCATTCGCTTATCTTTCAGCTACACACACTCAAAATTGCACTGATATTTTTGTGAGGATCTTCGCTGACATATTACATCCCCTTGCCCCATAAACAAATTCTTAACTCTCAAAACACCCTTTGAAGGCTCGTCCCAAAGTCTGGACCGTCCCAAACATCCTGACGTTATGAATTTGGCTCTCACAAAGATAGATGTACCCACACACTTAACTTTCTGAGTGTGGAGCTGTAGGGAGGGAAAGGGCTGTGCTGTTTCACAAATTGCATGCAGACTTTTTGCATCAAGTGTCAGCCCCCCCCTGCCTCCTCTCCTACCTCCTCCTCCTCCTCCTTCCTTACTTTGCTGAACTCTTAAGTGAAGCACACCCTCCGCATGAGCCGTGACAGAGTGAACGCTGCCCGCGTGGATTAGAAACTGTCCAGAAACACAGGTTTCTCACTGGGAATATGTGACTGTCGAACGTGTGGAATATGGCTCAGCACACGACGGTAAAATCTCAGCTGCGGAGATCTTTCAGCGAGCATGTCAAAGACTCCACCAACAAGGCTTGGGATGTCTTCTGGAGGGGTGTGAGGGAGAGGCGGCTGTGGGGTGAGTTGGGATTCGATGCGGGTGAAGATTATTTAGCTGGAAAAAAGCAGTTTATGCAAGGTTGCAGAAGTGTTTTGGTGAAAGTGTTTTGTGCAACTCAGCATGGTGAAGGAAACTGATATTAGGGAAGGGAGGTATAGTTAAAATCACTCGTCTGTTTCCAGTTGAGATGCTGTGCAGAAGGTGAATTAAATCAAAATGCAGTGGTTTGCAAATCAACTGAACCCTAGAGTCCAATCGCAAAGTTTTAAATAAGCAATGTCATTGTTTTTCTGCTCATCTTGAATTCAAAGCAAGGAATGTATTTCAAAAAAGTTGGATTAGGAGCAAAAGAGTGAAAGTTTCATGCTTAAAAGCATAAAACACCTGGTGGAACCTGCTGCTTTTCACTGAAGTTCACTGGCAACAAGTCAGGAGAATGAGTGGGTATAAAAGGAGCCTCCCAGGAGCCGATGGCGATGGTTTCAGCTCGCTGTGGAAGAGTGTGTGGTGAAGAAGTTCAGTAAGTTAAGTTCCACTGATGCTAAATGAAGCATAACATCCAGGCTTTGTTTTATTTAGGCAGAGTTGTGCTTAATTCAGCAACATCGTCATTAAACAGTCAGCAGCACTGGCCTTTATCAGTCCAGACCACGAATCACCATGTGAAAACAGTCATCTGCAGATGTTTCTGGAAATTCTCTGCATCTCTGAAGGAGTTGTGATTCACACACTCTTCATTTGCAGAGGCGATGCTGAAGTGAGTCAGAACCCAGTTTGATGGGAGATGTGATCAGAAAGCCTTACCTGACTGGCATTTGGCCAAACCCACACTCAGTCACCTTCTCATACACCTGTCTGGACTAGTTGGTGTTTTTAGGTCAGTCTGTTCACTCTTTACCCAAAGAAAGCCTGCTAGGAGCAGTCTTTGAAGCTCTTTTGTCAGCTGAGTGGTTTCAGGCCTGCTGATAATAGAAAGTGACTGGATTTGCATCAGACGTTGGGGAGGTTGGTCTCTGCTCGTGCAGCTACCTTTGGAAAAACCCTGAAAAGTATTCTAGTGTTCATCAAACTCGTCTTTGGTGATATGAACTGAGGTGTCGAGACTCATCAAATATTGTCTTTATGGGTGCAAAGTCCTGTTGGGTTCCTTTGCTCATGCATTTCTGTGTCGTGGATTCTTTACCTTGTTTTTTATTTTGGAGGACGACGTTGCGGGGACACAAATCTGGTGAGTGGTCCAGACTGTGAGTGAAGACTGTCCGTGTAGGCAAAATCGAGTAAAACTCTATCACATTGGAGGATGAATTCATGGTGCACAACACAACAACAAGAGACTGTTGAGCTGGTTCGTTATCTCACTCCTCACCTGATGCCCCGGCTTCAGGTTTGGATGCTGTGATCTCTACAACTGGAAACTACTAAGAACTCCTCGGTTGTAGCTGAACAGCCAATCTGTTATCGTAAGCCAGGAAAAATCTCTTTCTAGATGACAAAACAAGGTTCGTTAAAGAAAAGTTAAACTAAAATTGTGCACGAGTTTTGCAAATTGCAATAACAGATAATATGTACGCTATAGATTTAAGCAAGAGCTGCAAGAACGTATGATACAGAAGGCGTTGTAAGTTAGTTAGCTCTGGCTTTTCCTCATCTTCGAGTAACTTTGCTGGTGTCTTCAATCGAGGTGTTTCAATTATTTCTGTTTGGTTCATGCAGAGACACACTACGTGTTGTTCTGGGGCTGAATTTTGAGCAACTGACACTTTATTTCCAGCATGCTGGTGAATTTGAATCAGCATCAGATTATGGTAGAAGAGTATTACTGGGACTAAAGAACGCCAAGTCCTGAAGATCTGAAGCATCGTTGTCCCGCTGGTTATTGTTTTCAAACGCATGTGTGCTAAATGCTGGCATCATGAAATCTACACCTTTGCCTTTAAAAGCTATGAATAATAAAATCCACAGACCGTATCATAACATGGTGGTCAGCTGCTGCTTCCTGCCGCCCATCATAGACAGTCCCATGAAGCCACTAGCATGCGAGCTGCAGCTGTGACTGATTGTGGTTTCACGTCTCATCGAAGCTGAGTGTTTTCCCGCGCTGCGAGGCAAACTCGCCGGGTGATACTCGGGGTGCTAAACGGAGCTCTCGGTTTTCGAGGAATCCCAGCGTGGCGTCCGCAGTGAGAACTTGAAAGCTCTGTCTCTACCTGAGAGGTCAGGGGCAGCATTTCAGCGCTCTTAACACAATGAATCCGTGAGCCCGCGGAGAAAATACCACGCGCTCGAGCCGAAGCTGGGTCGGTCTTATTTTCCCGGAGGCCGTTTGTGTGTGGGCTTGTTAGGTGAGCCTGTGACTAAAAGGTTAATTCACTGAAGTAGCTGGGAAAATGTCAAGGTGACCCTCGAGCGTGACTCTTCGCCTCCACCTGCTGCGCCCTGTGTGCTCCACTCTCAGGTGTAAATGTGAATGTAAAGCAGGATGCTGTGAAATACCAGCGCTGGCAAAAAAGAGAGCTTCAAAGGACTTTCAGTGCTAAAGTGAGAAGTTGAGAATGGAATAATATTTTCTGCTGTGTGCATATGGATGGATTATGAAACCGAGCTCCTCCGGGCAAGACCTCCACACTGCAGAAAAGACAAAGCAGCTCATGCAGTTGTGTCTTTTTGTGTCCAGCAGGTGTTTTGTGAGTCCTGCTGGTGATTTGACTACACTTGCAGTGTTTTCCGTGGACATTTTTATTCCACCCTTCAGTAATTTTCTGCCTTTTGTTGTTATTCGTCTTTGATGAAAGTATATCATTTCATTTTTGGTCATTTCCTGTCCTATTTTGGTTATTTTTGTATTTCTTTCTGGGCTGTTGTGCAGTTATTTTCACATACTAATTAATTCCGACCTGTCGCGTATGCTTTATGTACTCACAGCATTTAATTTAAGCTCTGGTCTCATAGCCTACAGAGATTTTGATGCTTTCTGCATAATCGTTGGATGTTTCTCTTTTCATTGGTGCTCATTAATAGTGTAGTGGTTTAAACATTACCTGGACAAACAGAGGGTTGCTGGTTCGATTCTATCCAGAGGTTGTGTGTCAGAAAGAGCCAAAAGACAGTCGTAAAACTCTTCTGAATCAAACATGTAGATCTGCGCTCTGTGAAGGAAGCAGGAAATGTAGCTTTTCATTATGTCTTAATGGTATTTTATAAACAATGGTAACCCAGGGATGTCTTTGTGAGAAGGAAACTCCACCAAAATAAAAGTACCAGCTGTTTCTTTCTAAGCTTTCACAGCAGCACCAGGCTGACACTTTTCTATCAAAGCGAATGGTAGAAAAGTGAAACCGTGAAGCAGTTTTCATATGTTGGTTTCACAGGATTATATTCATACTGGCTCAAAAAGATTTTTTTTTCAATAGGAGCAAAAAATGGAAATGCTTTTGAGGATCACAAATTCTTCAAACTGATCCATTGTTAGCGTTATTTAAATTTTGTCCGTAGCATTTGGAAAGAACACTTTCATGTGGGCGTGCTTTGGAGCCCTGATTGGTTTTTTATACATGTCCTCATTGTGACTTTGTACAGAGCCTCGCAAGGGAAAAATAATTAAGATGAACTTTTGCGCAAATGTTTTTGCCGCATCCTTCAGAGGTCGCCAGCTCGAAGACGATCGGGAGGTCGAAGCATGCCGGGAGTGCGGCGTTCCCCCCGGCTGTAGTGGGCCTCGACCTAAAGTTAGCTTCGAGCTGGTGGGTCACAGACGTCTCCGAAAACATCTGAGCACTTTAACAAATATGTGATGTTTTGATAAACCGAGCAGATACGCCTGAAAATAGCTTCAACGTTTATTTTGTGACCCAGAAAGCGTAAGGTTAAAACTAAGTAGCTGCCGCCATTGTTAGAAATGACTTGGTTGGGCCGCGCTATGAATTCTGGGATAGGTTGGGTCACGAAGGATACACCGACTCAGCCTTCAAATGCGACCTGCGAAGGATGCAGTGTATTTTGCGAGATCATGCAAAAGTTCATCTTAATTTTTTGTCTCCCATGTCCCTCGCCGGGCTCCGTAACTGTGCAATTCTAACTTTTGTGCAAAATCAGAGACAAGTGATTGAAACAATTAGCTTGCCTCTACTAAAACACATATTGTGTGAGTTTTCCTGAATCTGAACACCACATTAATGTGGCGCCACAGAACTGCCACATTAATCAGAAACACACAAGATTGAAATATACACACATTCCCATTGACCCCGGTCTCCTGTCATAACATGTAACTGTGGCCTCATTTTGGAAGACGTGGAGAAATGAAACAGAGGGTGTGTTGATCCAAACAGCGGGGAGTTCGATATGTTACAGATCAGCAGGCTGCAGAGGACGAGGCCGGTTTCTGAGCTCAGAAGCTTTTAATGACAACGCTGCAAGAGCTACCTGCAGGTCTTCAAATGAACGTGAAAGTTGAGTAATCCTAGTGATGCGTATTAACACCAGTGTGTGTGTGTGTGTGTCTGTGTGTGTGTCTGTGTGTTCTGACAGCTGGTTTGGGTTTTCTAGTGAGAACAGATACCAGGCTCCAGCTGTGTGTACACTTACATCAGTGTGTGCGTTTCTGGATCAGATCAACAAATGACGTTAGAAGGGTTGTGCTCACTGATTGGCTGAGGGAGAGATTATGTAATGCTTTGGTTCAGATCCCTGTAGCACACACATTCACACACAGCTGAGAGAAAAGCAGCTACAAGAAGTTTGGGTAATGGCTCAGTCATAGGGTATATGAACATAAGACAGCAGCCTTCTGGTGATGAGAGAGAAAATCTGAGTTTGCCTGGTGACTGTATCGTTTTTTTGTTTTTTTATGGTGGTGCAACACCCTCAACCTGTTGGCAACCACTTTCAATCAAGAAGGAGAGGAAACTTTCAATTGCTCTCAGACAGACTGTCAAACATTACAAATATCTACAGCCTGATTGCCAACACAGACCAATGACTGCGATGTGTCTCTTTGCTATAGAGGACTTAACTCAACT